TGTTCGACCCAGGTAAGGAGCATTCGTTTTTTGTTGCCTTTTTTGGAGCTGTTTCTTTTTCTTTTTGGTCCCAATTTGGCAGGGCCGTCCAAATCGACGCGTCGGTGGGGCGGTGGGACGGCTATGTATGGAATATTGCGTGTTTCATGCACAGCGGGGTGCAGCGCGTGGAGAGTGTTGTTGTGATTTTTTATCTGGCGCAGTCTCCACATGTCATCCGCCTCATCCATCGCATCCACCACGACCACCACGACCACCACCAACTGCGCCATCGACACGACGCGGATCAAGCCAGGTGGGCACGCCTGCGCACCGACACTCGCTTCCTGAACCATGGTGTTCATCGTAAAGATACCCGGTCGCTCGCGCGCAAACACCCCGGAGCCCGCAACCGCCTCCACCCCGTCCGACCAGCACTTGTCCGCACCGCCGCTCGCGGACATCGCCATGGACACTCCGCCTCGAGCAGCCCCTCCTACGTCCATCCCTGTGCAGCCGACGCAAGATGTGACAGCTGGGTCATTAGCGTCTTCGAGCCCGCAAGTGGCAGCACAGCCATCCCCCGCGGCCTCGGTCGCATCAACTGCTCCCGGTGCTGCACAGCTCGACATCCTCCTCGCACCTGCCGTGCTCAATCACAGATACGTGCGCGGCGTCGACAAGAGCCTCATTGTAGAGCGTCCAGAGCGCGTCCGTGCCGTGCTCCTCGGCATCGCAACCGCTATCGGCAAGTCCACCACCGACGACCATCCCGCTATACCCTCGCTGCCCTCCACATACCCCGCCGCCGCACCCGGCCCGGCAGTCTCGGACGATGACGACCTCGTCGCACGCCTCGGATCGCTCTCGATGCAAGCCAAGCCAGATGGCCCGCAACAGCAGCACCCGCCGCCCAGATTTCGGGTGCTCCATTCGACATCATCGGTGCCCCTCAACCCGGCCCACCCGGCAGTGGCGTACACCCATGCCCACGCAGACGAGCTCGTCGCCGTCCTCGAGTCCGCCTACGACCTCGCGAAACAGCGACGCAGAGACACCCACACCGCTCAGGTCAAGCATGAAGCACGCGAGGATACGCCAACGCCCGCACAGCCCCAGCCAGAACAAGCCGCCTCGATGGCCGCACCGCAGCAGACGTCACACGCCGCCTACCTCGAGCTCCTCTGCAGCCGAGCTCCCAACCATCCGCCGATCTCGCAAGCCAAGCACCACCACTCTTCGCCCTCAAAGCACCCGCCCGAAGATAGCGAGGCGTACACATCGAGCGACGGAGAAGGCGACGAGGCCATGCACGCGTCCGAAGTGCCCGAACATCTGCCCCAGGGCGACCTCTACCTCGCTGGCCCCTCGCAACAACCCGATTCCAGCGACGGCGGATCGGCGCAAGCCATCCAGCACGCCATGGGTGCCTGCTGTGAGGCCGTCGACCGCGTAGTTGCAGCCGCCACCTCTTCCGCCAACACGACTCCCCTGCGCGAGATTCGGTACGACCAGGCGCTGCCGCACACCAACTCGGACGCGCATCCAGCACCAGCACCAGCCGCCAAGCGCGCCTTTGTCCTCTCGCGTCCGCCGGGCCATCACTGCTCCGGCTCCACGCCGCAGGGCTTCTGCTGGGTGAACAATGCGGTGGTCGCGTCGGCGCACGCCTACCTGCAGCACGGCATCGACCGCATCGTGGTGTTCGACATTGACCTGCACCACGGCAACGGCACGCAGAATCTGGCGTGGCGCATCAACGCCGATGCGAACAAGCGCGACGACGAGCGTGCGGAGCGCATTGCCAGTCTGCGCGCAGCGGCTCTCGAGCGCGCGCGGCAGGCGCTCGGCAGCGGCACGGGGCGTGCGCACGCCAGCCGCCTCGCCAAGGTCGCGCTGTCCGAGCAGGACGAGGCGGATATCAGGGCGCAGGCGGGTCCGAGGGCCATGAGGATGTTCTACAGCTCGCTGCACGACATCGAGTCGTTTCCGTGCGAGGACGGCGATGCGAGCATGATCAAGGACGCAAGCACCTGTGTCGAGGGCGCACACGGTCAGTGGATCTGGAACGGTAAGTACGCACCCAGCGCCGCACCAGAGATTAACGCAATGGTAAAAGGGCCGAAGAACGCCGTTCTCCCACCGGGCACGTGCGGTCTCGTGGCGAATACAACAGTCACTGAACGCGTCCACTCGTAGTGGGCAGCGGATGGGTGACATGAGGTGCCATTCTCTTGCAGTCGAAGCTCTCAAAAGCAACCAAGCTGACACGATTTTTGCTGGTCGACAGTTCATTTGGACCATTACCGGAGTGAGGCCGAGTTCAAGCGGCTGTACGCGGACAAGTACGCGATCCTGTTCAACAAAGCCGCGCGGTTCCTGCAAGCTACATGCGCCCTGCCTGGGTCAACGCTGGTGCTGATCTCGGCCGGTTTTGACGCGTGCGCATACGAGTATCCGGGCATGCAGCGACACGGCAAGCACGTGCCACCGTCGTTCTACCACACGTTTGCACGCGATGCGGTGGGGTTTGCCGACACGCACGCGCACGGCAAGCTCATCTCGGTCCTCGAGGGCGGCTACAGCGACCGTGCGCTGTGCTCGGCCGCCCTTGCGCACGTAACCGGTCTAGCTGCCGAAGGGGCAGCAGATCCGGAGGCAGAGGCGGAATTCTGGAAGCTCGATAATCTCGTGGCGGTGGAGAAGGTGGCCAAGAAGATGGCTGCACATGCAGCAGCGGTGGGTGGTGGGGTGGGGGTCAACATCACGCCCAAGAGGAGGCAGGCGGAATTGGTGCCTTGGTTGGCACGCACGTCGCGCGCCTTTGCGGCGTTCGAACAGGCGTGTGGCAAACCGCATGTCCTTCCGCTCACCGCCACGGGCAGGACGAGTGCGGTGGCGAGTGCGGTGAATAGCCCCAGTGTGGCGGGGAGGACACTGCGCGATCGTGGCGCACTCAAGACACGTGCGGATGCCACGCCCCAGTCGAAAAAGAGCCCGTCCAAGTCGCCCACCAAGCCTCGCGCAACTGCCTCGCATGCCGAAGTTACACCCGTCAAGATCGAACGCACTGCGATGGATCTGGATACTTCGACACCGACCAAACCCAGCGCTGTACAAGATGGTAACCCCGTCCAAACCACTGTGACGACGGCTGAGTCGACACCGACCAAGCCGGCGCCGATCATCGCTGGGGCTGAGCGAGTGGCGCGCGCGGACGCGCTGGACATCTCCCCGTTCCTCGCCACATCGTCGACGCCCCAATCGCCCGTGCTCTCAGCTGCGCCCGTAACGCTCGTCGACGCCATGTCGCCCACACACATCCTCGACGCCAACTCGACCCACTCAATCATCCCGCTCGACTACCTCGACCCAGACGCTCCCGGATCGCCCGACCCCACCGTCGACGCCCTAGACTATTTTCCTCCTCGAACCCACCCCCAACCACACTGGACACAGGCGGCGAAGTAATGGCATTGCGCGCTTTTCTACTTGTGGTTCTTCTTCATGCGACGCTTTTTCTCCGCCTTGGGCATCTTGGTCTTGCGCTTCTCGCGCGTCGCTGCCTTGGTCTGTTTCTTGGCCTCCTTCTTGGCCGCCCGTGCGTCTTCCTTGCTCAGCTTGGCGTCCTTGGGATGCACCGCCTCGGCGCTCGAATCGTCATCCTCCGAATCGTCATCCGAATCCTCGTCTTGGTCTTCCTCGGAAGAATCTTGCGAGGAGGATGTGGGCAGCAGGTTTTCGAGCGGTGCCTTGGGTTTCTGCTGGGTGGGAGCTTTTTGCACCTGAATCTCGTGCTCCGGGTCGTCGACCTCGTGCAGCGAAAAGGGGATGTAGGTTGCTTTGAACACTTCGTCGTCCGCCGCGGTGTTGTGCGCAGGGTCGGGCAGCGCAGGTTCGAGCGAGAGCTGGTGCATCAGCTCTTCGAGTGCATGCATGAGTTCGGCTTCGCTTTCACCCGCAAGCTGCGCGGGTGCAGGGGCGGGTGCTCCGTGCAGACCAGTATACCACGCTCCACCACCCGTCACCCTGTTGCCCACCACCGCACCGCTCTCCGATGCAGCCGAGGCGTGTCGCTTGAGCTGCGCATCGTGCGCCGCGTTGGGATTGGGCTTGTCCTCGTCGAAATCCGCCTCCTGCTTCTCGAGTCCCGCGCGGCCACCTTTCCTTGCACCGCCTCCTTCCCTCGCCGCCGGCTCGCTCGTGACAAAGTCAAACGTGCGGCGCAGACCGAGCGTGTGCACGCCGCGGCGCGCAAAGTACTCGTCCACATGCGTGATGTCGGCGCGAAGGAAATCGAACGCGCGCGGATGGTCGTGTTCCACCGACTGCGAAACGTCGATGATCCACAGATGCCCCTCGTGGTAGAGGATGTTGTACTCGCTCAGGTCGGCATGCACGAGCCTGCACTCGTGATACATGATGCGCATGCTCGCCAGCAGCTCCCTGTACAGCCGCTGCCACGTTGCTGCGTCCGAGCTGATCATCTCGTCGGCGTCCTTGAGCCTTGGGCTTGCCCAGCCGTCCGAGTCGCCGAGGAACTGCATGACCAGCACGTGGTCGCGCAGCTCGACGGGGATGGGCGCGCGCAGACCGGCGGCGACCATGCGCTTGAGGTTGCGCGCCTCCTTCTCGGCCCACAGCCGCACCATCTTGCGCGGGTTGTGCTTTGCGTAGCCGTGGCGGAAGCGGAACTCGCCGCTGACGTACCGGTCGCGGTCCTTGAACACCAGGATGCTCGTTTTGTAGATCTTGAGCGCCAGGCTGCCCTTGGTTGCTGCGTCGTGGGCGCTGGCGGTGGTGGCGTGGTAGACATTGGCTTCCTTGCCTGTGCTGACGCAGCCATTGACGGACTCGAGCAGGCCACGGTTGACCATCTTGTAGAGGATGACCATGGTGCGTGGATCGAGAACGCCCTCTACAGTGGCGCGGTCCGCCTTGTCCTTGATGCGCACCACGTCGCGGCCGCCGAGCGCCTTGCGCGGCACGGTGGAGTTGACGCCACCGCCGATGGCCGACGAGGGGTCGTACATGTCGTCGACGCGCACGCGCGAGGCAAACTTGGAGAGCGACTCCATCTGTGACGCCGTCCTGGTCTGTCCCGTCGACGGGCCTGCTGCAGCGGCTGCGCCGAGCGCCGAGGTGGTCTTGGAAGAGGATGCAGTGCTAGACGCAGCGGGGGGCGGACGACGACGTCGATTCATGGCGGGAAGCGGTGTGGCGGCTGTGGAAGCTTTCATCTGTGTTGAGGAGGACGAAGACGACGAAGCTGCATTGTTGATGGCCGAGGCGAGTTGACGCGAGCGGTTGAACTGCTTGGTAAAGTCGCCACGCGCGAGCTCCCAGTCGGCATCCTCGACGGCACCATATGCGTTCATGTCGTCCTCATCGTAGTCGTCATCCTCCTCCTCCGGAATGGCATCGTCGTCATCTTCCGAGTCTTCGGCATCGGAGGAAGCGCGCAGGATGTCGGAGATCTCGAGGCGGCGTTGCTTCTGGGAGAGCGCGGAATCCGAATCTTGCACCAGCTGCAGATTGCGCTGCTGTTCCTGTTCGGTGCGCTGCTGAGACTCGTGATCGAGCGATCCCTGATCAGGAGCGTCGTCAAATTGTCCCGCCTCCATTGTTGGCAGTATGGGATGAAGGTGCGGAGGTGGTCGATGGTGTGCGAGAAGAGAACAGCGAGTAGCAGCCGATGAGGTCCCCCAACTTTTTTTCTTCTTTCAAGATTTCTGGCTTGTGGACCCTGTGTGGTGCAAATGCCCGAATCCCGTTGAAAAGTTGGAGCTTCTTGCAAAGTGTCGAACGATGAGGCGTAACAGCCGGAGAAAATTTAAAGATCGAGTCCCGCACGGGGCAGCCACAGGTGCAGGAGACAAATGAGCTCTCTTCCCGCTCGCGTCGAGACAGAGAGCAACACTTTCAGGGAGAGGTCGCAAAAATAGAAGGCGAGACGCAGTCCCCCAGCGAGTGCTGCTGAGGTGCCGCTGTGGTGCTGTGCACGGGGTGCATGCGCAGCCCCTCTTTTGTAGCTTTGATTGCAGCTCTGAACCGCAGGCTCCACTGCCGGGCGAGGGCAAAGAAAGCAACAGGCTCGTGCTTGGCTCGGTCCCGCCGCAACGCAGCAACGCAGCACCGCATCAGGCCTGCACACTGCACTGGGTCACTCGACTCCGACGCCGGCGCCTCTCCGCCTGCTGTTCCCTTCTGCATTTGGCAACCCGGCGCTTTGCAAGGCTGTGCGTTCCACCTTGCCCTTTGTGTGCTTTCTTCTCCACCGTCACACCTTCAGCATCGGATCCTGTCACGCATTTCTGTCGACGACCACTTTCCCACGACGTCGGCGGCTATCGTATCGGATCAGCCGGCTAGAGGTATCGCTCCGATCGCATCGGCTCAGCCGAACCACCGACAACGAGCGTCGAGTCCAGCATGAGCTCGCCCTCTGCTCTCACGGTGGTGTATCCGCCTTCATTCCAGAACTCGTTCTGGTCCTATCCATCCTACCGACCGGGCGCCCAGAGCCTGTATGCCAAGCTGCAGGCAGGTCTGGACGAGAACGAATCGATACTCGCCTTTGTCGCCCATCGCGCAGAGCTCGAGTACAATCACGCAGAAGCGCTCGCCACGCCGCCACCAGCCCCGTCCTTCCCTGCGCCCCTCTTCCGACAGGCTGCCGGCATCCTCCATGAGGTGCTGCCCATCGATAGCGCTGGCGGCTCAGCTGCTACGCGCGGCTTTGCCGCCAACTCGTCGGCCACCTCGCGCGCCTTCCGCATGATCCAGGCCGAGACCAACACGGCCCACGCCAACGCGCACGGAAAAGTGGCACGTCACCTCGAAAAGTCGATCCTCGAGCCGTTCGGAAGGTGGGCCGCCGATCACCGCACGCGCGTCACCCAGAGCTGGGAGCATGTCGACGCCACGCTCGCCCGCTTCGAGCGACAGAAGAGCGAGGTGGACAAGCTCAAGCACAGCTACGAGAACAAGTGCCGCGCCGCCGACGAGGCCGAAGACGATGCGCGCTTTGCTCCGATCGATGAGGCCGACCTGCCCTCGCCGCCTCCCTCCCACGCCTCGGACTCGACGCTCCGCCCTCCCGCCGCTGCGGCGCACCCTCAGCGCAGAAGCGTGTCCGGAGATAGCACCAAGTCCATCGACTCGCACCCCGACGAGACCGACGACCCAGACAGGCTCAAGCGCCGCGAAACGCTGCGAAAGCAGTTTGGATTCTCCCAGCGCGCCACCTCGGCCACGCATTCGCCGCCTGCCCATGCCGCGCTCGACGGCGTCAAGCTGCCTCCGCTCCCCACCGAGACAGAGGGAGAGGCCATGGATGCCAGCGCTGCCTCTCTGGCGCCTCCAGCACCCCACGCAACGAGCCTCAAACGATCCGGCACCATCTCGGCCCTTGTAAGCTCGGCCGTCGAGAAGATGCCCGCTCCGCTCAAGGCAGCCGTCGGCGGCGTCGTCTCGGCCGAACCTCGCCACGCCAGGCTCCGCCGCGACGCCGACAACGCCGAAAAGGTCTACGAGGAGGCCGTCAGAAACCTGGACCGAACGCGTTGCCAGCTCGAGGAGGTCCTCTTTGAGCACTACGGCCTCACCCAGCGCTGGGAGGCCGACCGCATCCGTGCCGTGCATTCCGTGCTCGCCTCCTACAATCACGCTGTCGCCGCCGAAATCCCCATCCTGCAGCAATCCTCGGCTCGCTCCTTCCAGTCCTCCCAAGGCCTCGACCCCTCGCTCGAGCTGCGCGCTTTGATCAGACAGGCAAGGACTGGCCCCTTCCGCCCGGCCATCGAACGCTTCCAACCCTACTACCACGACGAGACCTCGCTCGGCCGCAAGGTGGGTCCCCACGGCGTCGCGCATGCATGGCTCGTCAAGAACGGCGGCTTCGGTCTCGACCTCTCGCTCGTCGAGCGTCTCGAGTATCTCGAACGCCTCGAGCACCAGCCTTCCGCTCCCGAGAGTGACAACCCCACTCAGCTCGCCACGGTCCCGCCCGTCCTCGCTGCGCTGCTCGCCGCTTTGGACCGCGCATATGCCGACGACGAGCGTTGGACCGCTCTCGCAAAGGCCTTTGCCGCGGCCAACGCGCCAGCCGCGCCTGCTGACCAAAGTTCGGAAGACCAAACCGCCAAAGATGAGGCCGCCGACGAACCGGACGCCAAGCTCATCGGCCAGGAAAAACGCAAGATCTGGATCCTCGAGGTGCCTCTGCCCATCACGCATCGTCTGCGCGATGCGCTCATTGCACACCTCAACCCGTCTCTCGCCGACCTGATCTACGGCGGCACCAACGGCACAAAGGCAGCCGATGCTGCCGAGTCTCCGGCGAACATCATCCCAGAGAAGCTTCTCGACTCGTACGATGCGCCCGTGCTGGCGGCGTGCATCAAGCTCTGGCTTCTCGAGCTCGAACACAGCCTCATCACCGAGGAGCTGTGGGACCAGATCGACGCCATCTATCGAGCAGCTGCGGGTCAGGAGCTCGAAGCGCTTTCTGCCGCCACGCCCGTCGTCGGCAGCTCCGAGGAGGGTGCTGCTGCGGCGAAGGACGGCGAGCCGGCTGCGACGCCCAAGGCCTCGGCCATCAAGCGGCCCGAGGTGGACGGGGCGACCAAGGCCAAGATCCGTGCCGGCGTGCTCGAGGATCTGCGTGTGGTGCTCAACAAGCTGCCACGCATCCACCTCGCGTGTCTCGACGCGCTCTTCTCGCACCTGCACCGTCTCGTCGCCTCGACCCAGGCGGCGGAGGCGGACGCAGTGTATGCCAACAAGCTCGGGCTGGCGCTCGGCCGCGCACTGGTGCGGCCCAGGCACGAGTCGGCGTACACGCTCTCGTCGCAGATCGGCACGCTGGTCGTGTACGACCTGCTGCACCACTACGACGACATCCTGCCGGAGCTCGTTGAGAAGAAGCGCACCGAGGCGGCGGCGGCAGCTGCAGCGAGCCCCAACGCCAAGGGTGCGCCGGCCGACGGGCAGCGACGCATGCCGATCCGCAAGCGCACCAAGCCCATCGACCAGCGCATCTCGCGCTCGTCGATCGGCAGCGATCTGCAGCAGGGCGCGCGCAAGCTCATGCAGCAGATGGACGAGCGCGAGCGCAGCAAGGTCGAGCCGACGCCCATCGTCACGTCGAGCGATGCAGCCACTGCCGAGGCCAAGCGCGACGACGACATTGCGGCGCCCACCCCGCTGGCCGAACGCGTGCTGGGCGCGTCGGCGGCGGCCAACGAGCCCGCAAAGGAGGCCGAGACCGTGTCGGTGGTCGACGACTCGGCCGAGCAGCACAAGGAGCAGCAGAGCCAAGAAGCTGCCCAGGCGCAGTCGGCCGCCGCTGCCGCAGGCGCCGCCGACGAGCGTCCGCTGTCCAACGTGGCGCGCCTCTCGCGCCAATTCAACTCGGCCTCATCCACGGGCTCGGCGGGCTCCAAGCGCTCGAGCCTGGGTGGTGGCGGCCCGCGTGGACCGCGCGCGCCGTCGTCGCGCACCCCATCCGCCGGCGTCAGCGACCTCGGCGACGCGGATCTCAAGTAAGTCATCCCCGCGTCCCGGCGTGCGCGCATGAGCCCAGTGGCAAAGATACTGACGCTGTGGCACTTGCGTTTGTGGCGAAAGGAGGCAGTCGTGGGCGCGCACCTCGCGTCCGAGCGATTCGCTGCTCGAGGACGACTGAGCGGCGGCGTGCGCGGTTGATGCAATGTGACAGACAGCCTAGCTAGTACTGGCCGACGTGAACTGTTGGCTGATGCGCGCAATGATGAATGGGTTTTCTAGACAGTGAGAGGGTTGGGTGAAGTTTGTATGGAGGCAAAATTGGAGGATGCTTTGGTGGAGTGGAGGGAAGGAGTGGGCTAGTGCGACGATGTATAGCAGCAGGGTTGTTTGGTGTTGGCAAGATTGGAGGATGACGGATGATATTGCTTGTGGTGCGATTAAGCAGATGGTGCTGCTCTTGATATTGCGGGTAGGGAAAACGCTCGATGCAAGAATCTCACCTGCTCCTCACACCATTGCTTCAACAGCTGCGCAAAGCCAATCCGCCTCCTCGTCGAAAAAAAGCCTGACAGCAGAGGACAAGTGGTCGAACTGCAAACAAAGACTCTCGCTGCAGCCACACCCTTTGCCTATCCCCCCCGGCGCGGCTCGGTGGTGTTGAAAAGACGCCGGATTCAACAGCTGCCCAAGTGCATGCCCAGTCTTCCCCAACCCCCCACACTGCCACCTCCTCCCAACCGTATTCCAGCCTCTCACTAGCCACATCCATATCACTCACCCACTTGTTCAAAACTCAAGTCTACACAACATCCCCCCTGCCGGAAAGAAGAATGGATTCAACTGTCTCTTGGCAACGACCTAGACCACATGCGGTGCGGTCCACGAGAAGCTCGCAAACTCGGCCTGGTCCTGCGCGCTGAGCACCGAGTGCACGGGCGTCAGCGTGGGCTTTTCCGAGGTAAACTCGGTGTCGAACCAGCTCGTGTCGCTGGGGTTCTTGAGCGTCGGACAGAAGGGCGGCGGAACGCGCTTGTTGAACATGTCGTCCCAATTGACGTCCGTGAAGAACGGATGGCTCTTGATCTCGTCCGCATCCGTCGGTCCCGACCCGAGCCGCTTGCTCGGATCGCGCGTCAGCAGCTTCTCCAGAATCGACACCGAGTCCGCAGGCATGTGCAGCGGATACAGCGGCTCGTCCTCCAGAATCGCATCAAAGATCTCGTCCTCGTCATCACCCCGGAACGGCGCCTGTCCCAACAGCATCTCGTAGATCAAAATGCCAAACGCCCACCAGTCCACCGCACGCCCATAGCGCTGCTCGAGCAGGATCTCGGGCGCCATAAACTCGGGCGTACCACAGAAGGTCGACGTAGTGTTGCCGTACCACATGTCCTCCTTGCACAGACCGTAGTCGGCCACCTTGATGTGTCCGTCGAGCGTGAGCATGATGTTGTCCAGCTTCAGATCGCGGTAGATGATGCCCTGCTTGTGGAAGTACTCGAGCGCAAGCAGCACCTCGGCCGCATAGAACTTGGCGCGACGCGGCGTGAACGGCTCGCGCTGGATGTGCAGCATGAGATCGCCTCCGGAAATGTACTCCATAACAAAGTAGACGCGCGTCGTCGTCTGGAAGCACGAGTGCAGGCCGAGCAGGAACGGATGCCTCTCGCGCGCCGCGGCGAGGAAGACGCGCTTCTCCGACTTTGTCGATTCCACCTCGTCGTTTTCGATGATAAACTCCTTTTTGAGCACCTTGATGGCGTACAGGTGGCCCGATCGCTTCTCCTCGGCAAGCATGACTTTACCAAAGTTGCCCTTACCCAGCACCGCGAGGAAGTTGAAGTCGTCGAGCCCGATCTTGCGCCGCGACGACGGCAGCATGCGAGGCGGCTGCTGAGCGCCGGCGCCAGCCGATTGCGGCACAAGGGCCGAGCCGGGTCCCTGGGACGGCGGAGGCATCTGCTGCTGCTGCTGCTGTGCGGGCGGCATCGCCTGCGGCGGCTGCTGCTGCTGCTTGACGGCAGCGTTGGGCATAGATGCTGAGGGCGGCAGCATGCCGTGCATCTGCTGCGACGACGGCTGCTGCTGAGACGACGGTGATGGCTGAGCAAAGCCAGATGGAGGTTGAGGACGCGCACCATACATGTTGTTGGCCGGCGGCGGCGGCGTCTGCATGGGCGAGCCGGAGCCCGACGGCTGCGGCAAGGGGCGAGGCGGGCGCGACATGTCGGCCAGACGCGGGTCCGACGCCGAAGGCGACATGCCGTCCTGCATACGAGGCGGCGCTGGACGACCACCATAGTTGGGCCCGGCGCCCGGTCGCTGCTGTTGCTCGGTCGAGGGCGGCGGGATCCTGCTGGGCGACGCGTACGGCGCATCCTGCTTGATCGACATCTGCTGCGTCTGCTTTTCGAGCGAAGTGAAGCGTCCGTCGGGACCGGTGCCCGCGAGCGGAGGCAGCTGCGGCGGAGTCACGCGGCCGACAGGTGCACCGGCCATGGCGCCACCGTTGGCGTTGTACGCACTGCCGGCCGAGTAAGGCGGCTGCTGCTGTGCGTGATGGGAAGGCGGCTGTTGGATGTGCTGCTGGGTCTTTGCGGACGACTTGACCCTGTTGATGGTCTCAATGTCGCTGAGCAGCTGGTTGGCCATCTCCATCGACATGCCGCAAAAGTCGGGCACGAGGTGTGCGCAGTCGGTGTGGCAGGTGATGTCGCACTCTGAACACTTGCGCGCGTTTTTGCGGCCGAGCGGGAGGATGTAGCCGCAGTGGCAGCACCAGTTGGCACTGAGGTTGGTGATGGGCTCGAAGCGATGCGGGATGCGGTGGTTGATCTTGACCTCGTCGCGGTCGGCTTCTGCGTTGCTCTTGGAGATGCACTTTGTGACGACCTTTTGCGCGCACTTCTTGTGGCAGGCGTAGCGACAGTCCTCGCACTGGCTGCCGGCAGCATTGAGGAGGAATTCACCGCAGAGGGCACAGCGCAGCACCTGGTAGAACTGTCGCGAGACAAACTTGTGGCCGTTGATCTCTGCGACGTCTTCCTTGCGCTTTCGGAATGCACCCTGACGGCCGAGACGCGCGTCGTAGGGACGCTTGCGGACGTTTTGCTTGATAAAGTTGAGGTGGAGGTAGATGGCGCCTGCGGGCTCGACGGCGAACCAGGCCTCGACGCCGTCGCTGGGACCGTTGGGCACGGGAGCGCCTGCAGGACCGTTGTACGCGCCGTCGAGACCGCCGCCGGGTGCAGGGCCAGCTGCGGCGTAAGGGCCGCCGCCGGCTCTGGGCTGGACGCTGTCGGCGGTGACCCAACCTTCGCTGGGGCCGTGGCCGTGTTGGGAGGCGTCGGGGACCTGACCGAATTTCTTCTTGCGCTGCTCCTCGACAATGTCGCTGATGCGAATCCAGAGCATGCCGACGGGGATGGGATGGGCGCTGCCGACCTTGTCGTAGATGGTGACCTCGAGCTCGTTTGCGTTGTCGACGGCGATCTCAAAGTCCTCCTGCCAGCGCTCGTTGCGGCTGGGATGAGTGCGTGCGCGGGGCGTATCTTCGACCTTTACGACGACGGTGGATTCGCGGACGGAGCGCGTGTTGCGGGGTACGGGGGAGTGGTCGATGTCGCGTGCACTGCGGATGGAGATCTGGAGGGTGCCGGAGAGGGGCTTGCGGAGGTTCTGCTTGCGGTTTTCGACCGACTCTGGGCTTGCGTTGTCCTCTTCCTCCTCCATGACGTGAAGCTGCTTGTATCGCTTGAGCGCCTGCTGGAGGAGGACGATTTTGGACTGGGACTCGATGCGCTTGGACTCTGCGTCGTTGCGGCTCTTGCGGTCGCCCTCTGCCTGGTAGAGCTTTGCCATCTTGTCGATGCCCTGCTTGTACTGCTTTTCGATCTGGAGTTTGAACTCGAGCTGGTGGAGCATGCGCGAGATCTTTGCGGTTGTGTGTGGGGTGTCGTCCTTGATCAAGTCGAGGTTGGTGAAGTTGCGCCTTGCGCTGGTGCCCATGCGGTGCATGGCGGGCTGCCACTGTTCGGGCCCGCCGTTGGGCGAGTAGGCGGGGCCGTAGGGCCCTTGGTTGGCATACTGAGCGTACGAGCCTTCGGGACCGCCGCTGCCGATGGTGGAGTCGGGCGCCGAGGGAAGCGGACGACCGTCGTATCGGCGAGGGTTGACGGCGGGGGAGGGCGGGTTGGAGCCGAGGTAGGAGGAGCTGCTGTCTGTTGGGTAAGGACGGGAGCCGCTGATGGAGCTTGCGCCGGTGCTAGTCTTGGACGAGGCGTAGCTCTGCCTGGGATCTGCGGTGGTGGTGGAGGAGCCGGTGGGGCTGTCTGTGCGGAATCCTGGCCCGCCGCTGGCGCGACGCGATTTGAGGGAGTTGATGGACTCCTGGAGGTAGGAGATGTTGCGCTGCGCCTCGCGGATCTGGGACTCTGCCTGACGAATGACTTCGGGGTTGGTGGTGGCGGCTCGAAGTGCCTGGTTGCCTTCCATAATACGGCGCTGGGTCTGGATGCGAGCATAGACGTCGGCGAGCTTGGAATCGGAGGGGTCCTGGAGAGGAGATGAAGAAGGTGGTGAGCTTTTGTCGCAACTTGGCCGAAGAGCGTGGAAGCTGAATACTTACGGCCATGGTGAATGATGGCGAGAGAGAGGGGGCCAAGAACGAAGCCGGCTTGTATGTCTATTGGCTCGATGGGACTTGGGACGCTGGTCGTCGGGTAAGAAGAAGAATGCGGGATGGTGGGGGGTTGCGGTGGAAGAACGAGGCTGTACGTGCTGACAGAGGCAACAACGACGAGAGCAAGGATGAAGCGAGGTGGTGGTGGTGGTGGTGAGGGAGATTGAGAATGGGTGGAGGGCGGTGGTGGAGAAAGGAGAGTCGAGCGAGCAGCTGCCACCACCACCACCTCCGCTGCACTGCACTGCGCGTTGCTCTCACAGCAGAAAGAGAGTGACGGCCGACTACATTTGGCGCTGGAGAGGGGGCGTTGGTTGCTCGCTCCCTCGCTCCCTCGCTCGCTCCCGACGCTGCCTGGCTGGCTTCGGATCAGATGCGCTGCTGAGACACGACACTCTCACTCTCATCCTCACTCTCACCCTCACTCGGCCCTGCCGCTCCTGCTGCTGGCTGATCTGCTGCCCGCTCCCCAAATCAACACACACCCACGCACCCACGGAAAAAACGCGCGAAAAAGGGCGGAAAATACCCCCAAAAAGCTGTGCTGTTTCGCTGTTTTGCTGTTGGGCCAGTTTTGAAATGCGATCGATGCTTTTTGCTATAATAACAATTCCCTGCGATTTCAATCCCCCCTCCTCTCTCTCTGCCTCTCGCAGCGCGGCGGTATACCGAGCGACGGTGCATTGGCATACTCGGTGCTCTGCCCCTTTTCTCCCAGGGGTCGTCCACATCTCACATCGTCCACACACTCTCTCTCTTCCCCTCCTTTTGCTTGCTGTTCAATGCATATAGTCGACCCTCGTAACAGTACAGCTTCGGTGCTCGAAATACTGCCACAAAGTGTCCGAGTGACGTTTAAAGTGGGGTGCAGTGATCTGCTTGCAAGTGGGGGAAGGTGGGTGGGTTGGCATGATGGCCCCAGCGCAGCGCCCTTTTGTTTGGCGCGTGAACGCGTCAACGGTGCGGACCCGCGCCTGCCTGGGCCTCTTGGCACAATCACACAATCTTCCAAGGGTCCATCCAGCCTGCGGAAAAGCACGGATCAAGACCATACTCTCACCCGCATCACAGGATGATACCAAACAAGAACAAAAAAAGGATTGCGAGCATTTTGAGAGAAAAGGTACAAGTACACGTTGAGTGATACAGGGGCGATCCATGTCGTCCGCACGGCTGGTATGGGCCAACGTCGAAGGTCTAGGATCGGGTATGTGTGGGATGGGAGAGCCGGCGATGCGATTGCAAAGCCAGCTCGAGAGAAAAGAGGGAGGCAAAGCGCACGACGTCTTGAGATGCTGTTGAAGGGTCTAGAGTCGCTGGCAGTGTCTAGCAACGAGCCGGTGGGGGCGGACCGATCAGGCCTTGGGCTTGGAGGGCGTGCGCCTGTTGCGGTTGCGCGTGCCCGAAGCCGGTCCGTCGCTCTCGAGCAGCGCCTGCCTCTCGGCCTCGGCCTTCTTGAGCTTCTCGGCCTGGCGATAGATGTTGGCCGTGAAGGGCTCCTCGAAGCGCAGTGCGATCGCATACACGATCACCACCAGCACGCTCAGCAGCAGACCGGCCGGCTTGCCGAACCACAGCGCCACGGCGACAAAGCTCATAGAGCTGCCCCAGTACATGGGGTTGGCCATCACATTGAACGGGAAGCCCGTCACCATGCTGTCCATCAGGATGCCAAAGTAGTCGCCCAGGTAGGTGCCCGTCACGCCCAGTGCGTACATGGACGACAGCACAAACACGTTGCCCGACGCAAACAGCACCGCCGCCGCCGGCTTGACCCACGACTGCTGCAGCAGCGAATGCGTAGGCTGATCTTTGAGCGCCAGGTTGTACAGATGGTCGCGCACGATACCGAGCGAAAAGATGGACACGGCGAGCAGGTAGCAGCCGAGGTAGCGACGTCCGCCGAGCAGCTTGGTGATCGTCTTGCGGTGGTACTCGTTCTGCGCCACAATGTTCCAGTAGAGCGGGTTGAAGCAGATGCTGCCCACCGCGATCCACAGCGACGGCTGCGTCAGGTCGACGACGCCCGGCACCACGTATGCGCTCGCAGGCGACTTGTAGAAGAGTCCAGCCATGTTGCGCGATGTATCCTAACTAGAGGGTCGAAAAAGAAGACACGATGAGGGTGGGATGCCAACAGGGAGGAAGCGCAGCAAAGCGCTAGGCAGTCTCCACGCCGCGGTGGCCGACGAAATTGCACTTCCGCACCAGCTCCGCACCCACTCTGACTCTCGGATCTGCCGCACTTTCGGAATGCTGCACCGAGCTTCTTCTGGAGATGCATGTGACTGTCACACGCGTGACTGTAGAAAGAAGCCGCTCAATTGCGCCGCGAGCCATCACGTCGGGCGAGCCGTCAGATCTCGCCGAGCTCATCACACCTGGCCATCGTCGGCCTGTCTCCGTCTCAGCTCGATCATCACTCATCACGGCTCTGCGCTCTCGATGCGCTGCGTCTGTGTGCCGATGTGCCTGTTGCTGAGCCGGCCTTGCGTGGCCATGATATAAAAGCCCCCACCTCGCTCCTTGCTTCCTACGCCCGCCGAGACGCACGCACTGCCCTGAACTATGAGCATGAGCATGCCAGCCACCACAGCGCCGCAATCGACCTGCTGGACACTGGAAAGCAAGCTAGGCATCACCGTTCGAGTCTCGCTCTCGTCCACCTTGAACCCTGATGAATGCACAAACGAGCCAGAGCCAGACGCGTTTGGCCATCACTTCATCCTCACTGGCGCTGCCACTTCTGCGAGCCATCCTCGCTTTGAGCTGGGCCATGACCACCTGTCTGCCATCGCCCGTACCATGCTCGAACAGATCAAGTCGGTAAGCTTGCTGCGTTTCTTCTTCTCCATGCTAGTCTTCCGCCCGGCTGACCGCTTTGTTGGATGCAGCTTCGTCATGGATGGCTCGACATTGCAGATCTGTCCACAAGCTCTCACACGAAGCTCGAACAGGCGGCCTTGACACTGAGACTCGTCCCAAGCACCACGTCCGAGCACACCTCCTACTGCCAGCAAACGCTCGTGCGCCTCGACTGGTCTGACTCGAGATCCAACCCACCATGGCCTCTTTCCCTCTTACTACAACAGACGCCGCTCTCGACCCACTTGCGAGATCTCATCCATCGTGCTGCCTCGCGCACCATAGTCGAGACGCTTCTCGCATCCTCCGCCTCCGCGAGCCTCTTTCACCGCTGGTGGCGACAGCGCCGTGTCCAAGTAGACCCGCCCATCGCCTCAATCGCCCTATCGCTCTCGGCATTGGCACACAATGCCGCAGATCCAGCCAAGCTCGCCCCAGTCCACAACCGATTGGAGACGACGCACGCTTCACCTTCTACAGCGCGTTTGCAAGCGCTTCTCACTCAACTCGACCACGCTGTCTTTCCCGCAGACGAATCGCCGTCAGCTTACAAGTGCATGCCTCACCAACGCCGCGCCAACCCAACGCCCGAGCTCGACATCGCTGACCTGCCCCAGAGCGATGCTGAGGTGGACTGGCTACCAGTAGAAACCCAGCAATCCACTCTCGCCCCGCACCCCTTGGCCGCTGATCAGCACACCGATTTGGGTCTCGACATCGTCGTCCTGCCCGATGAGCCAGATATCCTCGAGTTCTGAGCGACATCCCAGCCAAACACACTCTATACAATCGACATTGGTTGGTACAATTACATTATCAAGCAACTCCGGGTCCATGCATGCCATGCGCTCACGACAGCGGCACAAAACAGCATACCAGCAGAGACGGCAACCCGCACGGCGCAATCTTCATCTCAAACACCCCGCGCGTACGTCGCACGCACACCGTTCCATCCGCGTTCGGACGCACGATGTCCGCGTTCCAGTACAGCGGCGCCGTGTTTCCCACCGTCGGCACATAGCTGCCATCTTCCGCATGATCGCCGCCCACCGCCAGCTCGTACAGCCGGAAAAATTCCGACGCCGACGCCTCGGTCATCAGCTCGTAGCAAGACAGCTTGCCTCCCGTCATCTGCTCACGCGACCGCCCGCACAGCTCGTGCGCCAGCTCGTTCGACGCATACACCTCGCCAGCCTTGCGACACACCACCATCGGCACCGGCGTGAACGGCAGCACCGATTCGGAATAGTACCGCACGTTGCCCGCCCATTCGGCCTGCAGCTGGATCATGCTCGACGGCTGGATGTTGTCTTCGAGCGAAAACCACAGCCGCCGGATCTTGGACAGCGCCGCCTCCACCGACCGAATCGACTGCTGCGACCAGTTCTGCTCCGTCATGTACCGCATCAACGACGCATAGCCCTTGCGGTACGGGTACGGCGCATACACGTCACCGGGCCTCTGCCGTGTCACTGCCTCCTTGTCCTCCGTCGCACCTTGCTGCGACCGATCGGCGCCTGCAACTATACCGGCACCTCGATGTCTTTGGACTGGATTTGGCGCTGCGTCCAAGATCGACTTGTCCTCGGCGCCCGCCGGCATCCGTGCCTGGTCATGGTGTG